AAGTCTGGCAAAGAAAAAACCCAGGAACAGAGTTAACCCCCATCCTCCAGTATAGGGCCGCACCTGTCTAGGCTAAATTACAACCCACCTACACACTCTATTGGCAAAGGTGCTAGATTACAGTACAAGCAAGTTTTGCCAGAAAAAGTGAAAACAATGAAAGAATGTTTTTCAGTGGAAAAGGGGGAGGGTCCTCGTCAGGAACATTTTCACAGCGGCTACATAGAAGAACAACCACTTATGAACACCGGCAGCATGGAAATTCAGCAGCAGAAAAAAGATGGGGCATGCCTGCCATTCTACAGCATCCAGTAGCCTGCGCAGTGTGGGACATACTTCAAGATAGGTAAGTTAGGTCATTAAAGCTATAGAATGTTTCTATTAGCTAAACTTTGGCTGTAATCAAATTGGCCACACCCTTTATTTAACCACTTCAATACCACACTATAGCTAAAAAACAGCTGCAGCATCTGCATGTGGGGCATCAGGTGCGCTGTGACCTGTGTCCTTTGGACACAGCTGATCACAGATCAGGGTAAAGGGCCAATCACAGCAGCCCTTTATCATTATTATTACTATTATAGAGGATTTATATAGCGCCAACAGTTTGCGCAGCGCTCTACAATGTAAAGGGAGACAGCACAATTACAATACATTTCAGTATAGAAGGAATAGAAGGGCCCTTCTCGTGGAGTTTACAATATAAAGGATGGGGGAGGTGGTACAAGAGGTGATAGCTGCAGGGGATGATCTGATGGAGGTGGCTAAAGTACAGTTCTTAGGTGTAGGTAGGGTAGGTTTCCCTGAATAAGTGAGTTTTCAAAGATCGCCTACAGGCAGACAGGGTGGAGGCTGACCAGACATACTGTGGTAGGGAGTTCCAGAGGATGGAAGAAGCTCTGGAGAAGTCCTGAAGGCATGGGAAGAGGTGACAAAGGAGTTAGAGAGCAAAATGTCTTGGGAGGAGTGGAGCGGGCGATTTGGACGATATCTGCGGATGAGGTTGGTGATGTAGCAAGGGGCAGTGTTTTGGATGGCTTTTTTTGTAGTTAGTATTTTAAATTTTATATGTTAGGTTAGTGGAAGTTAATGAAGGGATTGGCAGAGAGGGGCAGCAGTCGCTGATTGGCTGGTAAGGTGTATGAGTCTAGCAGCAGCATTCATAATAGACTGAAGGGGGGATAACCTGTGTAATGGTACACTAGTGAGGAGGGAGTTGTAGTAATCAAGGCAGGATATAACCAAGGTGTGAATAAGTAGTTTTGTGGTGTTATTGGTCAGAAAGGGCCAGATTGTAGAAATGTGGAGGTTGAGGTGGCAGGATTTAGCCAATGATTGGATGTGGGGCCCAAAGTAGCCCGTTACCATGTGATTAGCTGTGACCAATCACAGCTGATCACATGTAAACAGACTTGCTGGTTACTGGCAGTCCTTTCTTCGCATGCTGTCTCTGTGTGGGGAACAGAGAGCCGATAACTGTCAAAGCTGTCAGTACATGGTTTACACTGATAATCAGGGCACTGTTCACCTGTGCAGCATATCAGTGCCCATCAGTGAAGCCTTATCCATGCATTTCAGTGAAAAGAAAAATTACTTATTTGTAAAACTGTAAAACAGGAACTAAGAAAAAAACGTTTTTCAAAATTTTCAGTCTCTTTAAGCCAGTGGTCTCCAAATTGTGGCCTGAGGGCCGGATGTAGCCCTTTGCTTGCCTTTGTCTGGCCCTTGAGGCACTATTCCTCCCACTGACACCAATGATAGGGCACAATTCCTCACAATGACACCAATGATGGGGCACTATTCCTCCCACTGACACCGACAATAGGGCACCATCCTTCCCACTGACACCAATGATGGGTCACTATTCCTTCCACTGACACCAACAATGGGGCATCATTGCTCCCACTGACACTAATGATAGGGCACTATTCCTTCCACTGACACTAACAATGGGGCACGATTACTCCTCCTACTGACCACACAATTTTTTTTAATCCCACTGACCATCAACTCTGAGACATTGTGGACTCCCACTGATGCTGGGAAATTTTCTACTCCCACTGGCCACCTGGCCCTCCTAAAGTCTGCAGGATAGGCCACTGGCCCTTTGTTAATGAAATTTGGAGACCCCTGGTTTAACCACTTGGTAACCGTACTATAGCTGAATGACGGCTACAGCGCGGTTACCCAGTTCTGGGATGGCATCATATGACGTCCTCCCAGAACGCGCCCTCCCGCACACCCACAGGGGTGCGCACCCGGTGATCTCTGTGTTCTATGGACACAGCTGATCACGTGAGGAGGTAAAAGGCCAATTACAGTGGCCTTTTACCACGTGATTAGCTGTGCCCAATGACACAGCAGATCACGGAGTAAATACAGTTGCCGGTTATTGGCAGCAATTCCCTCATGGTCACAGCATGAGGAAAGCACTGCCAATAACCAGCAGCTGTCACAGAGGAGATTGGCACTGATGATCAGTGCCCTGCAGTGCCGCCCAGCAGTGCTCAGCAGTGTCCCCCAGCAGTGCTGCCCATCAGTGGCCAGCAGGGCTGTCAGTCAGTGCTCAGTCAGTCGCCTATCTGTGACCATCTTTGCAGCATATCAGTGCCTCATCAATGCTCACCAGTGCCGCCTCATCAGTGCAGCCTATCAGTGTCCACCAGTGCTGCCTATCCATGCCACCTCATCAGTGCCTATCAGTGCAGCCTCATCAATGCACATTGGTGAAGGAGAAAAATTACCCATTTGCAAAATGTTATAATAGAAACAAAGAAAAACTATTTTTTTAAAAATTTTTGCTCTTTTTTTTATAGTGCAAACAATAAAACACCCGTGGCAATTAAATACCACCAAAAGAAAGCTCTATGTGTGTGAAAAAAAAAATGATAAAATGTCACATTGGTTCAATGTTGCATGAACGCACAATTGTCATTCAAAGTGTGACAACACTGAAAGCTGAAAATTGGCCTGGGGGGGTATAAGTGTCCTGTGTACAACTGGTTAAGCATAAAATTAAAACCCCAGTGGTGATCAAATACCACGAAAAGAAAGCTCTTGTCTAAAAAAAATTACATTTTAACCATTTCAATACCGGGCAATTTTACACCTTCCTGCCCAGGCCAGTTTTCACGTTTCAGCGCTCTCACACTTTGAATGACAATTGCGCGGTCATACAACATTGTACCCAAACTAAAATTTTATCATTTTCTTCACAAAACTAGAGCTTTCTTTTGGTGGTATTTAATCACCGCTGGGGTTTTTATTTTTTGCTAAATTAACAAAAAAAGACCAAAAAAATATGAAAAAAAAACCACCATTTTGTTTCTGTTATAAAAGTTTACAAATAAATAATTGTTCTTTATAAATTTAGGCCAAGATGTATTCTACTACATGTCTTTGGTGAAAATAACCCAAATTAGGATGTATTTTTTAGTTTGTAGGAAAGTTATAGAGTTCACAAACTATGGTATAGATCTGAAAATTGATCAATCCTGAAGTACTGACAGCCAATCTAATTTCTTGAAGTCCAAGAAAGTCAGAATGGTACAGATATCCCCAAATTACCCTTTTTTGCAGAGTAGACAGTCCGACGTACTTCATAAGAGGCATGGCGAGTTTTTTGAAGTTGTATTTTTTTTTTGTCATAATTTTTCGGAAAATTAAAAAAATAATTTTCACAATTTTTTTTTACATACTGTCACCAGTGCAGTACAGGGTCATCATATAACTGGCATAGCGGTGAACAGGGACACTGACTGGTGACAGTATAAAAAAAAAAAATTTTTTTTTTCTTTATTATTTTTATTGCATTTTTTAAATTTTTTTTTTTTTAAATTTTTTTCATATTTTACTATGACCAAAGTAGTACAATGTTACCTATAGTAACATTGTACTACTTTGGGGAAGTGATCAGTATTTTTTTTTTTTACACAATTTGCTTATAGCAAAGAATTACTTTGCTATAAGCAAGCATTTACCTGAATGACATCGATTCATTCAGGTTTTTTTTTTTTTTTTTTTTGCTTAGCTGTGATTTGGCCACAGCTAATCACATGACATGTGCTCGTGACCTGCTGTGACCATTCACAGCTAGGCACTAGTATACAATGGATGGCATGAATGAAGCCATCCATTGTATACAACTGTCATGTGACCTGCTGTGATTGGTCACAGCAGGTCACATGGTACTGGCAACGGGGGCCAATACTCAGATCTGTCATCGGCCATGTCCGAGGTACACAGCCGGTGACAGATCGCACCGCTGCGCGGCTCTGCAACTGCGCATGTGCGGGTGAAAGTGCCTAGTATTAAAGTGGTTAAATTAGCTAGTTCAACTTTTTTTTGTCCCAGCACATTACGCACCCCACTAATAGTGCACCCCCACTAATAGCTCACCCGGGTAAACCCCTCCTTGGGCTGACATGTCTGTGTAACACCCAGAAACATGACTATACCAGTACAATACCTACATCATAAGCTTTTTAGGGGGAAATGAGTACTGCTTTGACCTTGAAGAAGGGGACATTCCCCGAAAGCTTGCCCTCAAAGTTGTATGTTAGTGCAAATAAAAAAAGTATCACGGACAGTACTCAATTGTTTCTGTCGCAAATGCACTAATACAGCTACAATCACCTCAAGCAAAATAGGGGGAAATGGTGTAACATCCATTCAAGAGGCGAAAGTCTACAAATCCGGACTGACACATCCCACCTCAGCCCTTTACTGTGCTGCCATTGCTCCTTCATCTCACACAGTGCAATAGAATACCACTTGATACAACTCAGATTGTGGCTCCAGCACACACTGACTGAAAGCATCAAGTTTGCCGCTAATTCTCAACATGACACACTGCACAGCAACTCGCGCTCTCTTCCGCGCATGCGCCCCAATACAAAAGCGCCGTCCGTATTGGAGAATCTGCAGCTTGAGGGGCGTGGTAAGTAAGTGTGAACCAAGTTTGGCAACGACCCGGACACATTACGGCAAGCACGTGACTAGGCTACGAGACTCGAGTGGCTATGGAGGCAGCCGGGGCTGAAAAGGTGGGTTGTGATTGTGCGGAGCAGAACGTTATACCTACGATTACGTTGGCGGGGGGGCTCTGTGGCGTGGAGCCCCGCAGACCGGATGTGGGTCATGTGAGGCGTCGAGCCTTGAACTTCCTGCGTTTCGTGTGGGGGCTTGTAAGCAGGCTGCCCGCGGTGGATTTAGGTCTTTTTGTTTTGGTAGGCCGGTGACCGTGTTTCTGGTATTCAGTGTATTGTTAGCATGCCTCCTTTAAAAAAAAAAAAAAAAAACCCTTAATATCTTCTATTCGCATTAATTCCAAAAGTGTTGTAGGCATGTGAGCTTTACATATATGGTCAATGAGAGACTTCAGATGCAAGTTAAGCTGGCAATACATGGATCGAGATCTGGGTCAGCAGGGACTGACCGAATTTGGATCCATGTATGGGCTTGCTGGGTGTTAAAGTCGATCTTTTGATCTACAACCAGCCTGTCAGGTTTTTCCTGAAAAATCCGTGCCATTGGCTATAGTTGGGAAGACTGCCTGAAGGCAGAATACAATAGCTCAGAGGGAGCGATTTCCCTATGTAAGGGCAGTATGGCCTGCCTTAGGGTAGCGAGGATGTGTAAGGCCTTGTGTGATGGAGAGTACTACAGTCTTCATCTGTGTGAGGGCAGTGTTTACACACACAGGGATGCACAGGTTTTTTTGTACATCCCACTACAGGTAGTCCCTTTGATGTCAGTTGGGAGCTGTAGTTTGTACGGCCCCAACTGCCAACTGTGCATTCAGGGATGTGCACCCACACAGATGTCATTTGGGAGCTGTAGTTTCAGGAACATAGCCACTGCTCTCATTGCGAAACCTCTGCAGGTGTACGGTGAGGTGTACGCCCCAACTGCCGACTGTGCATTCAGAGATGTGCACCCACACAGATGTCAGTTGGGGGCTGTAGTTTCAGGAACATAGCCACTGCTCTCATTGCGAAACCTCTGCAGGTGTACGGCCCCAACTGCCGACTGTGCATTCAGAGATGTGCACCCACACAGATGTCAGTTGGGGCTGTAGTTTCAGGAACACAGCCACCGCTCTCATTGCGGAACCTCTGCGGGTGTACGGCCCCAACTGCCGACTGTGCATTCAGGGATGTGCACCCACACAGATGTCATTGGGGGCTGTAGTTTCAGGAACATAGCCACTGCTCTCATTGCGAAACCTCTGCAGGTGTACGGCCCCAACTGCCGACTGTGCATTCAGGGATGTGCACCCACACAGATGTCAGTTGGGGGCTGTAGTTTCAGGAACACAGCCACCGCTCTCATTGCGGAACCTCTGCGGGTGTACGGCCCCAACTACTGACTGTGCAGTCAGGGATGTGCACCCACACAGATGTCAGTTGGGGGCTGTAGTTTCAGGAACACAGCCTCTGCTCTCATTGCAAAACCTCTGCGGGTGTACGGCCCCAACTGCCGACTGTGCGTTCAGGGATGTGCACCCACACAGATTTCAGTTGGGGGCTGTAGTTATTATTATTATACAGTATTTATAAAGCGCCAATAGTTCGCTTCAGCACTGTACATTACAAAGGGGACAGAACATGTGACAGAACAATACCAATACAATACAAAACATAAGGGGATTGAGGGCCCTGCTCTTTCGAGCTTACAATCTAGGAGGGAGAGGATGGTGGCACAGGAGGAGATAGCTGTGGGGGATGGAGTGGTAGGAAGAGTGGAGGAGGTCAGCAAGTTAGCAGGGGGTAGGGTAGGCTTCCCTGAAGAGATGGGTTTTCAGGGTGCGCCTAAAGGAGAGGAGAGTAAGTGATAATCTGATGGGTTGGGGCAGGGAGTTCCAGAGGATGGGTGACACCCTGGAGAAGTCCTGGAGGCGGGCATGGGAGGAGGAGACCAGGGAACTAGAGAGAAGGAGGTCTTGTGAGGAGCGGAGTGTGCGTGCTGGGTGGTACTTGGATATTAGGTCAGTGATGTAGTTCGGGGCAGTGTGGTGGACAGCTTTGTACGTCAGCGTTAGGATTTTGAATTTGATCCGTTGCGCAATCAGAAGCCAGTGGAGGGATTGGCAGAGGGGGTGGCGGAGACGGAGCAGTTGGAAAGGTGAATGAGTCTGGCAGCCGTATTCAGGATCAACTGAAGCGGGGATAGCCAGCGGCGAGGCAGGCCAGTGAGGAGGGAGTTGCAGTAGTCGAGTCGTGATATGATGAGGGAGTGGATGAGCTGTTTAGTGGTTTCTGGGGTTAGGAACGTGCGGATTTTGGCAATGTTGCGGAGGTGGAGTCTGCACGAGTTTGTTAAAGATTGGACTTGGGGCTGGAAGGATAGGTTGGAGTCCAGAATGACACCAAGTACTCTGGCCTGCGGGGCGGGTTTGATGGTAGCGTTGTTCGATGTTATAGAGAAGTCAATGGGGGGGTGGTGTCCGGGCTGGGGGGAAGACAAGAAACTCTGTTTTGGAGAGGTTCAGTTTAAGGAAGTGGAGCGACATCCAGTCTGTCGCTCAGCATGTGTGTGATTCGGGTGGAGAGGAGGGGTGAGGTGGGGGGTTGAGAGATAGATTTGTGTGTCGTCGGCATAGAGGTGGTAGTTGAAGCCGTGAGAGTGTATGAGTTGGCCAAGGGAGGAGGTGTAGATGGAGAAGAGAAGGGGCCCGAGGACAGAGCCTTGAGGGACTCCAACAGAGAGGGGGAGTGAGAGGGAGGTGGTAGCATTATAGGTAACGCTGAAGGAGCGTTGTGACAGGTAGGATGAGAGCCAGGAGAGAGCAGAATCTCTGAGGCCAAGGGAGTGTGTAGTTTTTTGAGGAGGAGGGGGTGGTTGACTGTGTCGAAGGCCGCAGAGAGGTCAAGGAGTAGGAGCACTGAATAGTGGCCATTAACTTTGGCTGTTAGCAGGTCGTTGGAGAGTTTGAGTAAGGTAGTTTCGGTGGAGTGTAGGGGACGGAAGCCGGACTGTAGGGGATCGAGGAGGTTGTTGTCGTTGAGGTGAGAGCATAGGCGGGTGTAGACTAGGCGCTCGAGGAGTTTAGATGTAAATGGGAGCAGGGAGATGGGTCTGAGGTTGTTCGGGTCATTGGGGTCCAGGGAGGGCTTTTTAAGTATGGGGGTGATGCGTGCATGTTTCAGAGGGGAGGGGAAAGTGCCGTAGGAGAGGGAGAGATTGAAGATGTGGGTGAGGGAGCGTAGGATGGAGAGGGAGGGAGGTCGTAGGAGTTGAGGGGATAGGGTCAAGGGGGCAGGTGGTGAGGCGGGCATCAGAGAGGATCTTGGAGAGTTCCTCGATGGTAGTAAGGTCAAAGGTGCGGAGTGTTGGGGGAGCTTCAGTATGAGGAATGTAGGGTGGGGTGGAAGAGGAGGTCAGAGCAGTGGTGGGGCCGTGGGAGAGGGGAGATGAGGGGGTAGCGGAGTGAGGGGGAAGGGGGTTGGAGGGAGTAGCTGAGTGAGGGGGAAGGGGGTTGGAGGGAGTTTGAGCAGCGACGAAAGTCCCTGCGGGTTATGTCGAGGGGGAGGGGGGATGAGGGGGTAGCTGTGTGAGGGGACGGGTTGAGAGGGCGTGCGAGTTGCGGCGATGTCCTTGCGAATTGTGTCAATCTTGTTTTTGAAGTGATTGGCAATCTCAAGGGCAGTGAGTGAGGTGCTGGGTGGAGGTGGGGGTGGCGAGAGTAGAGAGTTGAAGGTGAAGAGTTGGCGAGGATAAGAAGAGAGGGCCTTGATGAGGGTCAGGAAGTAGGCTTGTTTGGCTGCGTGGAGGGAGGAGGTGTAGGTGTGGAAGGCAGATTTGTAGCGGGTGAAGGCTTGTTGGGATTTTGTTTTGCACCATAGTCACTCCAGGGCATGACTGTGTCGTTTGAGGGTTTTGGTGTGATTAGTCTGCCAGGGCTGGAGCGGTCGGGGTCTGATGCGTGTGGTTAAAGGCGCTAGTGAATCAAGGGCTGTTGAGAGCGCTTTGTTGTAGGCGGTCATAGCCAAGTCGGGGCAGGACGGGGAGGATGCTGTCGTGGAGTTGATCAGCTGAAGAGTGGAGGGGGATAGGGTTAAGGTTGCGGAGGTAACGGCTGGTAGTAGTGTGACATTTGGAGGGGTAGGCGTTGGAGGATGAGGAGATAGAGAAGGTAATCAGGTTTTGGTCAGAGAGAGGGAAGGGGGTGTTAGTGAGGTTGTGGGGAGCGCAGCGGTTGGAGAAGACAAGATCAAGAATATTACCGTTGGAGTGGGTGGTGGATTGTATGCACTGTGCAAGTGCAAAGGAGGAGGTTAAGTGGAGGAGATGGGATGTGTCCAGGTTGTCGAGGTTGACAGGGATGTTGAAATCCCCAAGGATGATGGTGGGTAGCCAGGAGGAGAAGTCATCCAGGAAGAAGGGGGTATGGATCTAGGAGGCCGGTATATCACAGCAATTTTCAGGGGGGTTGGGGAGAATAGTCGGACGCAGTGGGCCTCGAAGGAGGAGAAGGATAGGGAGGGGGGGTTTGGGAGGACTTGGAAGGTGCTCTGCGGTGACAGGAGCAGACCAACCCCACCACCTTTACGACCGTTGGGCCTGGGTGAGTGGGTCCAGGTGAGACCGCCGTAGGAGAGTGCAGCAGGGGAGTAGTCAGTGGGCTGGATCCAGGTTTCCGTAATCGCCAGGAGGTTGAGGGAGCGGGAAACAAAGAGGTCGTGGATAGCGGTAAGCTTGTTGCACACCGATTGGGCGTTCAGGAGTGCACATGAAAACGGGGGGGGGGAGATTGTAGGGAGAAGGGGGATATTTACTAAGTTGCGGGACGTGGAGGCGGGAGGGTGTTTGTGCGGGTGAGGAAGGTGGTGGAGGGCCAGGATTTGGGGAGATGTCCCCCGCGGTTAGGAGGAGGAGAAGGGTGAGAACGGTGGCATGGGAGCGGGATGTGTAGGAGCGTGAGAAACTACTAGTGGAGGTGTTCGGGTCAGTGGGAGAGTGGAGTAATAGGAGGAGGTGGTGGGTGCCGTAGAGGGGTGAAGGAAGCAGTGAGGACACAATATACAATTGTTTGGGAGGAGCA